CTCTCTCTCTCTCTCTCTCTCTCTCTCTCTCTCTCTCTCTCTCTCTCTCTCTCTCTGCTTCTGTGCATGCGCAGAAGCATGCAGGCAGGTGGGCGGAGCCTCCCGCCACCGCTACTACTGGTTTGGCCAAACCACTGGCTGATAGGTATTTGGATTAAGTCCACTGTAAGTCTTTTGTCTCTGTTCCTTATTTTGCTAACAAGTCCACAAATAATTTGAACTGTCAATCTGCAAAGTGAGCCAAGTTTTTAGGGATTGTGGGTATTCACAGCAAGAGGAACAGGGTCGGGATGGGTCAAATTACAAAGTAGGTATCACTGTGTCATGATGAAAACTATGTGGCTTGCATACTTGGGTGCAGCACTGGGATTCAAATATGAGAGTCCAGCTGACCTGACATTATCCTCACTCTATTGTGGTTTGTGCCAGATGCTTATGTAAGGCCAGATGATTGGGTATATAATATAATGAATGAAGGATGTCAGAGCCTCCAAAATCCAGTGGACCCACCAATTAAAAAGAGCATTAGGAAGATGAAGGCTTAGAGAAAGTTCACCTATGTTTACCCCATTCATTCTGCTCTGCAAAAATATGGCCTGTATTTGCTGCAGGTTGGAGTTAGCAGTTTTGCCCATGACTTTAGTCTATCAAAAACCTTTCTGAAGATAGATGGTAGTCCGTACTTTGTTACTTACGTTTCTACAATGGTAATCAGCTTCTTAGAGAGCTCTCCAGTTTTGAACCAATAAATGAGTAAGAAATGATGCTGGATTATAGTAGGTATACTGTATAGGCCTATTTGCTTAATGTTTCTGAAGCTGCTTTTTCCCTGGAGGTTTGGCCAGAACCTAATTGGTCCTGGATGCCTTCCAGCAGTGCGGATATAACTCTTGAGCTGCACATGTCAAGCTGAGCTCGGTATGCAGTTTTCATAGTGCTTCCTTCAGCCACCACAGTTTGGAGAAGTGACAGGAAAGGAAATGCAGGCCAAGCTGTTTACTGGAGAGGTTCTGATGGGAAAATCATTTTCAAACATCTCTTTTTAGTAAGAGAGTCATATCACATTGCTGCATTTGTGGTTGATTTTGGAATAATAAGAGAGTTACTAACGTTCTTTTAAATAAATATTATTTTAAACAGAATATTGGAATGTGGAATATCCTTTATTTAGGATACTACCTGCTCCAATTTTATTTTCTTTACCCTCTTCTGGCTTCTTTCTTTCCCCATCTTAATTTCAAATACCATTGTCTCTAAATATCTTTATTTTTATTGTCTAGTTTTGGAGAATTCTCCTTCTCCTGTACTTAATTTTTATGTTGTTTCATCTCATTGGGGTGTTTTTAATAATGCTTTAAAAATCTCAATACTAACAAGTGTAAGATTTTTCTATACTTGTTGTTTAACACAGTAGGTTGGGTGGTTGCCGTAATGAATTTGGATCTGGATCTGGACCATTGGTGGGATTCAATTTTTTTTTTCTCCTGGTCCTGTGGGCTTGGTGGGTGTGGTGTGGCTTGGTGGGTGTGCCTTGGTGGCGTGGCAGGGGAAGGATACTGTAAAATCTCCATTCCTTCCCACTCCAGGGGAAGGTTAGTGCAAAATCCTCATTTCCTCCCGATCAGCTGGGACTCAGGAGGCGGAGAATAGATGGGGGTGGAGCCAGTCAGAGATAGTATTTACCGGTTCTCCAAACTACTCAAAATTTCCGCTACTGGTTCTCCAGGACTGGTCAGAACCTGCTGAATGCCACCTCTGATATGGGCCCAATATCTGAAGATATTTTGAGAAGAATTTCCTCAATTTGATTACAAATTGGCCTGTTTGTTCACTATTAATTTGCCTTGCAAGACACTACTGTACTAATTGTGGAAGCAAAGACTGCTGGTCCCCAGTTGTGAAAGCTGGTTAGGTTAGGTTCCATGATTTCTACATCATTTTTCCTTCAGAATATGCTATTGGCAAAGGATTTTGCACCAATGAATGTAATGTTTTGGGATGAGATTTGTTTACAGTTTAGATTTTGCTGACTTGCTGTAACATCCTCAGAACTTGCATCTATGCTAAATGTCAATTATCTAATTTTAGATCCTCATGTTCATGCTGTAATCTACATAAACATTGAACAACACAGTTCTTCCACCAACATGCCCACCATGGATAGTCCATTTTTGTAGCTGATCTTTTGAATGCATTACTTTGTATGAAAATAGTTGATATAGCATTCTGAATCTTTGAAAACATTTTCTGAAAGAAAAACATCAGAAATTACATAAGTAGGTGGAGGATTATGGAAGGGCTGCTTCAAAAGTTTCTTCCAGTGTATTTATATATATATTTTCCATTTGGAATAATCATTTGGCATACACAGAAATCAGATACTTATACATTCCATTATGTCACTTGGAAAGGTTTGGCATTCCAAGGGTTCATTAATATGGTTTGACTCACAACGTGGATAATTTAAATGCCCGATATTGTTGCAAGGTATTGAGTCTAGCCCAGACTTGCCTAGCCCCTGTCCATTTTGAGATAGCTGGATTACAACTATAATAACAACTGACTATTCTTCCCAGAACGATAGCTAAGGTTTTGTGTGAATATGTTATAAATGCATGTAAATATATGCATATTTACAAAGGACTTCAAAATTATTTTTGAAAATAGACTCCAATCAGACACCTGCACAAAAGGAGAAAAATGTTTGCAAAGAAAGGCCTGAAAAATAACAGATAGTATTGAAACCTGCCTACAAAAGATCAAACACTATTCAGAGTTGACAACAAAATAACACATGCTGACTGTTTGATTTTTCATTATATAATAAGTACATAAGTACATAAGGGGGAAAAAATCCCCTGATGTTTGGGAAACTTATGAAAAATAAAGGCTGCACTGAGACATTTTATGTAAGGCATCTTACAGGCATTAATCTTCAGTATATATTTACATTTTGGGGGAAATTGATGTGAAAGTTCAACTTAAGAGGAAAAATGTGAATGACTAATGGATATGCACTGGAAACAAACCTTCCTCCATCATTCATCCCATTCCTTGCTTAGTGGACAGAAATGCTATAAAATTATCGCTTCATGAATTAATATAGGTAGTCCTTGACTTACAACAGTTCATTTAGTGACCGATCAAAGTTGCCATGGCACTTTAAAAAAGTGACTTATGACCATTTTTTACACTTATGACCATTGCAGCATCCCTAGGGTCACATGTGCAAAATTAAACTGCTTGGCAGCTGGTTCATATTTATGACCATTGCAATATCCCGGGGTCATGTGATCCGCTTTTGTGACCATCTGACAAGCAAAGTCAATGGGGAAGTCAGGTTCACTTAACAACTGTGTTACTAACTTAATTCACTTGCAATAATTCACTTAACAACAGTGGCAAGAAAAGTCATAAAATGGGGCAAAACTTACTTAACAAATGTTTCACCTAGCAACTTATATTTTGGGTTCAATTGTGGTCATAAGTCAAGGACTACCTGTAGTCCAATTGATCCAAGGGCATCAGGAAGGCACTGAATCGGGAAAAGCTACACCAAAGAGCAACATTTTGTTCACAGAAGTTTTTTTTTTTTAAACCCTTCTACTTTTGTTTTCATTTGCTTCATCATACCAAGTATGTTAGTTAGTTTAGTTTACTTTATTGATTAGCCCTTGGGCCATATCAAAGTGCAGAGTTCTAGAACAAATTATTACTGAAATCTGATAAAAACAATTTAAATTGGAATAGGATGAAATTGATCATGCCAAGTATGGATACTGAGTAATCTGCTGATTCTCCTCCTCTCTTCCAGGTCCAACTACTGATTGAAATCACTTGGCCATTATTTATCTTCTTTATTCTGATGTCTGTGAGACTGTCCTATCCACCTTATGAACAACATGAATGTAAGTTTTAAAATTGCCTGAGATCTTGGGCTTCAACTTTGGTGAAGGAGGAGTAAGTGAGAGGCAGATTGCAAAAGAACGGAACTATTTCTAGCCTAGAAAGATGGAAGATAACAGGGCTGACAAAGGGTTGGACCATCAGAGTGGTCAATACTTGATCTTCAGCCAGATCGGATGGTTCTTCAGTTTTGCATACGGCCATAAGAGCTGAAATCAGAGTTTTTATTGCAATTCATTTCTGATGTCAACAAATGCCATTGCTAAAGTTGCTCTGGCTTGACCACTGTTAAGAATATAAAACCTCCTGCTAACATAACCCTGAAGGTTTCCTTATAATCTGTGCTAAGTAGTACAGTACAGTACATTGCAGTAAATTATACAGTACAGTATAGTATAGCATAGTATAGTAGTTCACCCTACGATGATTCCTTACAGGAGTGAGTCTCAAACATTTTGGTCTCAGGGCCTCTTTACATTCTTAAAAAGCACTGAAGGCTTCAAAGAGCTTTGCTTTATATTGGTTATATATCTATCAATCTCTACTACATTAGAAATTAAAACTAAGAAAATTTTAAAACATTTGTCTTTGCAGACCCCCTGAAAGGGTCTCAAAGATTCCCAGGAGTATCCAGACCACAGTTTGTGAACCACTGCTTTAACGTGATTTCTTTCACACCTTCACATATTATTTAAACCAGGGCTTTCCAACTCTGGCAACTTTAAGACTTGTGGACTTCAACTCCCAGTGTTCCTCAGCAAGCAGCAGGCTGAGGAACTCTGGGAGTTGAAGTCCACAAGCCTTAAGTTGCCAAGAATGGAAACCCCTGGTTTAAATGACAGAGCTGTGTAACCCCTGGTTTAAATGACAGACCTGTAGCTATTTTGATGGATGCTTTTATTAATAAAAACTATTGGCAAATAACAAATTAATCTTATACAACAGAGAAACCCTACACATACTACAATATGGAATATTTAATTGGTCTTCTTAAACTCTTGTATATACATACTCTGAAGTAAAACTAGTTGACTTTCAACAGGATTTATTTTATTCCCTGACGTTGATGGCCAGTCTCACATACACACATGGATACAGATGATTGCTGGGTTGATATAGATAGATAGATGATAGATAGATAGATAGATAGATAGATAGATAGATAGATAGATAGATAGATAGATAGATAGATAGATAGATAGATA